AGTTTTTAAACTTTTCTTGATACCATTTATTTTCCATATATATCAACTCAGAAATATTTCATTTTACTTGCAAATAATTCTTTCAGAATTTCAGAGGATATCTCCAAATTTACTGTTCCAAAATCGCGGTTCTAATTCTCTGAAATTTTCATATAATACAGACTGTAATCATATATCCTTTAATAATTCTTTCCCAAAAAATGGCCTGTAGAACATTTATCCCTTTAGTGTTGTTCCACAAATCAAAATAACTTTGGGTCTTGCTACATGGTATATTGTTTTCTGGGCTGTCCACAGTAACTATTACAATTTTAACAATTCTGAAAGCCATTTTTACCTTTATTTTTTGATTGTTTTTGGTTTTTGTTTAGTTTGATTAGTCAATTTCTTTTTGGCAGGATTTAGCAGGACTACTCCTTCAGGAAATAGCTTTACTTTTCTAGACCTACTGTTTTAGATGGTCCTGACATAGAAGCTTTTCCTGGAAGGCTTTTATGCTTCCTCAGGTATTGTGTTTTTATTGTATTTAATTACTTTCTCCTAGAAACAAGTAAAAAAACCTTGAACATTAGGACACCCATTTAACAAGTAAATGAACTACTTAAGTCCAATAATTAAGTGCTCTCAAAGATTCAAGCATCTCCTGTTTTCATTATTGCAGTTATCATTTTCAATATTTAATACATTTAATTCAAAAGTAAAGACATTTTGAGACAAATTTAATGGGATCCCTGTGCTACCTTGCTCAGACAAGGTTTTAGTAATGAAAGCCTAGAATCAATAATCACTGGAATCAAAAGTGGTTGAGTGTAAGCTGATCACTGTAAAGATTAGCACTAATCACTGCAAAGATTAGCACCTGTTGTAAATGGAATGGGAAAGGATGGCATCTCCACTGAATGCTGACCTCTTGCTGTACCCTAACCTCTCACCTTCTGGTATACTAATTTAGTATAACTGGAATACTGATGTGTCTGTATTGAACATTTGCCAATATTTGTGGCAAAGACAGTTAATCTCAAAGTTAACCATGAGATTACATTTAACCTATGGAATGTAGTGTAATAAACAGTTTTGGAGGCAGACAACATAATTTATTGGAATCAAACAGGAAGATCTATCATCAAATATTCTCATGAAAACAATCAGCCAAAATACTTTCAGTAACTGGATTTCATACCATTAGTATATATTTATTACTTCCTTAATATGGACCCATATATTTTAGTATTTCTTGGCATTAACTGATGATAACTTTGTTTCTCTTTACTATTTAAATTTAGCCTAGTGCTTAAGACACCAGTTATGATGCCTGTGTACCACATCAGAGTGCCCAGAGTACCGGAGTTCCATACCTGACTCTGGATCCTGACCCCAGTTTCTTGCTAATGCAGATCATGGAAGGCAGCAGTGATAGCTCCAGTTATTGAATTTCTGCCATCCACATAGGAAACCTAGACTGATTTCCCAGTTTCCTCCTCTGCCCATCACTGGTGATTGCAGGCATTTGGGGAGTGAACCAATAAATGGGATCATGTTTCTCTCTCTCTCTCTCCTTTCAAATAAATATTTCTACAAATTATTTAAAGACAGGATTTTCACATTTTTTTCTAAGTGACCTATGCAATTCTTGCTTTTAATCTGTTTATAATCAAATAGCTATTCTACTTTTAAATTTTTGAGTGAAAAGTGTTTTTAAAATGTAGGAACAAGATACCTTCTACACAAAATATTATATTGAAAAATATAAAAGTATCCACCATTGTTCTCCTCCTTTTCCTTTTAATTCAAGCTAGTTTCCTTTGAAGATGTCTTTTGCCAACGGTTCTGTAAACTATTTTTGTTTGAAAATTTCAGGGTGGAATGGTTTTTTTTAGATGAAGGAAACTGTATTTGCAATTATAGCTTATAAAGTAAAAACCATAAACTCCCCTTTGGCATCAATTTGACTCAAGGTCAAAATTAGATTTCCTCTTCCTATAACATTTAAATTAGAAACTTCTCTTTCTGTGAGTAGCTAGAGTGGGATGGACATCAGCTATAAACTATAAAATATACTGTGTGAATACTAAAGTATACTTTTAAGTAAATTGGACCTTAATTTTGACCTTATTCTGATACAATAAAGGATTTTTTGTTTTGTTTTGATTTTTTTCTTGGTCTTAGCACTGATGTTATTTTATATTTTCTTAATTCAATAAAAATATTGGTCTTAACATTTTCAGATTAACACCTTAAAGGTTGGGACTGCTTACTTTTAACATCAGTTGTGTGTGGTAGAGATAATAATTGCAAAGAAGGATGTTGGGGTCGGGCAGGGCACTGTGGCTCAGCTGGTTAAAGCTGTGGCCTGCAGCACCAGCATCCCATATGGGCACCAGTAAGGATCCTGGCTGCTCCACTTCTGACCTAGCTCCCCACTAATGCACCTGGGAATGCAGTGGAGGACAGCCCAGGTGCGTGTGTTCCTGTACTCACATGGGAGACCCAGAAGAAGCTTCTGGCTTTTGGCTTCATCCTGGCCCCATCTTAGAACTGTTGTGGCCATTTGGGGAATGAACCAGTGGTTGGAAGATCACTTCTCTGTCTCTGCTTCTCTCTCTTTGTAACTCTACCTTTCAAGTAAATTAATTTTAAAAAGTTGGGGTCTACTATGTGGCAGAATTAATTACTAGGTGCTAAGAGAAAATGAAAATGTATTCAAGGCTGGCGCCGCGGCTCACTAGGCTAATCCTCCACCTTGTGGCACCGGCACACTGGGTTCTAGTCCTGGTCAGGGCGCCGGATTCTGTCCCGGTTGCCCTTCTTCCAGGCCAGCTCTTTGCTGTGGCCAGGGAGTGCAGTGGAGGACGGCCCAAGTACTTGGGCCCTGCACCCCATGGGAGACCAGGAGAAGTACCTGGCTCCTGCCATCGGATCAGCACGGTGCGCCGGCCGTGGCGGCCATTGGAGGGTGAACCAAAGGAAGACCTTTCTCTCTGTCTCTCTCACTGTCCACTCTGCCTGTCAAAAAAAAAAAAAAATGTATTCATAAAGGGAGAATTCCTGGCCTTTAGGACCATATAATATATATCTGTTTTTTAAAGCTTCCATGTCAAATAGTCACAAATCAGTCTTAAGTTATACTTTGAGGGGCTGGGCTAGAAAAATCATCTCCTTTTACTCTGTGTAATCAACTCTTACTTGAATGTGTCACTTTGCTTATGATGGTGTCTAAAGATAAACTGCGAATTCAAACTCATTTCACATTGATTACTTAAAGTACATTAATCTAATGTCTATTTATGAAGTCACAAATCACTGAGCTGAAAAAGTCCTCTTAAGACAGTAGGAAAGTATCCAATATTAAGGAATTATACATTACAAGAATTAGAAAATCATTAAAAGGTTGTTATCCAGAATCTAATATTAACTACTTGATAAGTAAATCTGACTCATGGTCAAGCAATGAGAATCACATAAGAACATTATAAACTGATAAATTCTACCACTTGATGAGAGAGCTGCACAGACGTCCTTTTGGCAGATGGTCAGCAACAGGTGGGTAATTGATGTATACACTGGCTATTTGGTCACTTTCCAGTAACTCTCCTTGGCCTCCTTGGCCCTTGTCCAAGTGAGTATAAAGATGTGCTGAGGACCATTTAAGCTTTTCACAATGCTAAGTAATATGTAAGCTCCGTAGTTTTTCCCCAATATCATTAAAAGTATGCCATCACTGATAAAGTATGAATTTCCATCATAATTTGTTTTACTAGAACTAAGTGATTTTTCCCATGAAGACAAACTTTTAAAATTAATTTTCTTGATATTCATATCATAAGAAGGGCTTTCTAAGAGCAGACTATATCTACATACCAAGTATATACATGTTTATTGTCACTCCAGTGGTTTATGCTTGTTGACTTATTACTGAAAATTTCATACATAAAAGTAGAGATGAGTATAATGAACTTCATCAATTAACATGTACCCACTTTTATTTCATCTGTACTCTATTTTTCCTATCTCCTCCACCTGCCCTTCAGACTATGATTTTTAAAATGGAAGCCCAGCTATCATATTAATGACATTTAATCATGAATTAAAGTGGATATTTTATGAATAGGTCACTGGTCTTTCCATGACTTAAGCCTGTTTAGGAATAGGTTGGCTTACCCAACTCTTTACTATTAAAGAATTTGGCCTCAGGATTCCCTGATCCCAGCAAGGCTCCATTTTCCCAAATAGGTTCATGTATGTACTTCCTGCATCACTCACTAATCAGTGGTGTTACCTTCACTGTACCTGTGACTATGAGTTTGGCAAATTGGCTTAAAAAGTGACCATTATTCTATTCATTCCCTCCTTCATTTGTTGCCCTAGTATGGAACAGTACTGAGGAAATTAGATATGACCCTGCCTGACTTCAGCTTATTTACTGGAGTTGTGACGAGGAGGCAGTGTGACATTACTTGGAAGACCACCTCTTTGAATGGGCATTGTTGTTCCTGATTTCACTTTATTTTCTGCCTGGGAAACATTTTATATGCTCACACACACACACAAAAAAAAACTGTATTAGTGACTAAGTAAATATGTGAAGCAATGATGAATGGTTTTAAAAAAATCAAAAAATTATAAAAGCCCACACTTTATATGGGAGTTAATAAGTTTTATATGTACCTATTGCCACCCTCACTCCCTTACATCCCACTTCCCCACCCTGCAGATTACTGCAAGTAGGTATGAGAAAATGTGAATAACCAAATTTTCATCTCAAAATATGGTATTAATAGAGGGGAAAAAAAAACATGTCCATAACCCATGGTTTTAAGAATGAAATTTCTAATTGGATGACAGCACTAAAAAATGCATAAATCTCTGCAGAAAACCACTATATAATTTAATAACTATCATGTATTATCTGAAAATGAATAATGATAGTGCAAAATTATCTCCCACATAGATCAATCTCTAATTTAAGAACTGATGTTTATAGCTATAAAAGGTATCACTGCTTTTGAAACATTGAATGCTATTTAATTCAAATTCCTTTTGAAAGCCATCTGCAGCTCTTTGAAATTTGTTGCTTCAAAATTGATTCTCTTTCCTGACAGGTACTTGATAGAAATAAATTCAACATTTGAGTCACACACTATATATCTGTAATGAAAAGAAAGAAAATAATTAAAATATTTTGTGTAAAACATAAAAGGTTTCTTTCAATTTAAATTCAACTCATTTTAGCTTTTTATTTTTATCCCCCAATCAAAAAATTCAATTATGATATGACATAATATAAAGCATTTTTTGTCATTGCTTCTTTGGAGACTGAGAATAGAAGTGCTTTCTAATTTTAAATATTCAAAAGATTTAATAGCTAGATGAATTATATTTTAAAATTCCCATTAATTTATTTTCAAATGAGGAAAACCCACAATTTTGAGAAACTTATTATTATGAGGGGAAAGGCCTTGATTTGTAATTGTACCCAAATATGAAAGCCTACATTTTGCAAGCATAATGATTACATTCTCTTCAAAAGATCTGCAAATTCTCCTAGGCACATAACTTAGAGAATGAGAATATTGTAATTTGAAAAATTACAGATTTCATTGTTTTTTGATGTGTGAAACCTATAAACAAATATCAGGAGATTGTATTACAAAACTGAAAATCCCTTGTTTAGTTTTGTAAGGGACAGTGCCCTATGTGGCTTACAACCCTGACTTAAAAGAAAAATGCAGAGTAATGCAAAAGACACTCTAATCACTGCATCTAATTACAAGGAAGAATAACTCAGTAAAAATTTTAAGTATCCTTGGGCAGGCGTGTGGTCTAGTGGTCAGAGCATGGGATTTCAAGTCAGTAGTCTAAATTTCTATTTTAAACACCACTTCTAAATTTCTCCATGATTTTGGGAATGACATTAACTTTATTTTTAAATAAGAATTCATCATTTTTCTCTTTGTAATTACAAAGCAGTTTTAAAATCCTCTAGTAGAAATACAAATCTAATGCTGTAAAAATGAACTAACAAAGGGACAGGTGTGTTCTTCTTGATGGTAAAAAAAAAAAACTTGACAAGAAGAAAAGATTAGGTAAATATAAATGAAGTCAGAAATGTTTTATACTTGCCCTATGTAGTAGCATTGCTATACCCGCTGTTATTTCAAAATCAGTGTGGGGTATTATTTAACTACCAACTCATTGATAAGGTGAATAATTTCGATAGCTTTCCTTCAAATTGCTCCTTTGCTTTTGAGGAAACGGTAGTACCCACTGGATCCAAAGCTGCTCTTTTTATACTAATTGTTATTGCCACTCTAAGAAACTTGCATTCTTCAGGGATGCGCCTTTGTATTTTGTTTATATGTAGTGTTTTTGAAGTGTTCCTCCAAGTGTATTAAGTAGAGACAAATTACCATGTAAGTTTTCTTTAAACTACTGCTAGATTTCTAGAGATGAATGTAGGTAAGTGATTCAAATTCTAACATACTGATATAAATCAGTTACCACGATAATTTTCACTGGGAATAATTAACACGTGAATTCAAGTTCTGTGATCTGACTTAAAGGGTTCTTCCCTTCCTTCCCATTCTCTCTTCCTTCCTTTCCTTCTCTCTCTCTCTCCTCAGTTTCAGTTTTATGCTCTTTTCTGAGCATGTTAATATTCTTGCATGCTTTTTAGTCCTAGTTTAGCTGAAGTGTATGTTTTAGTTTTAGGAGAATCCAACCAGTCTTAATATGCTAAATTACCTAGTACAAAAATTAGAAAGGGTAAAATCAGGAATAGTGTAAAATATTAATATAGCATACAATGGGTTTATACAAAATTTAGCCAAATTCTCAACCTCTACAATAACCCTTAGTGTCTGTTTTATTGCATTCCTTCCGAGCAAAAGAGTGATCTTTAAAAACAGCAATTTATCAAGATAATGCTGCATGAAAGGAAATGGAGACCGTTATGAGGCAAAGTAAAACAGCTTAAGGACAGATCTTGTTTTATGTTTCCTTGATTAGAAATGCAGTGTAAGAATGTCCTTGCTAAAGTACTTAAAGCACCATTAAATGGTCCAAATCTCAGGTGAAAAATCACTGAGTAAAGGATCAAATCTCGACAGGGTCAGTTTGGTCTTCTGGCATTATACAGAAGGAAAATTAGAAATTGTGCTTTCACTAAATTTGTCCCCTCGGGAAGATCTTAAAATGAAATCCTTGTGTGATTGTTTGCAGTAGCTCTAATGGCTTTAGAGAGTACCTCAAGATTCCCAGGTGAATTTATGCTAAATAAGGGCAGGAAATATACTTATTAAGTTCATAAAACTAAACTTATATTTATATTTTTAAAATACATATATATTTAGGAAAATATAGGTAGTGTCTATCCTAAATAACAAAAATGTAATCTTGCATTTACTCCACTGATGTCCAGTTGTCAATTTCTTACCTGGGCCTCTTCAATGCATCTCACATTCAAAAATAATAGCAAGGAGGAAAGGAGTTCCTTAAAATTTGTTATCTTAGCTTTACCACATTAAATTTTCCTTTTAAAAACCAAATTCTCTTTGGTTCTTTATTGGTTCCCTAATACAACTCTCTTTTACTTCCCTACTCCTTAAACAGAAAAGAGTACTTCAAAGTGTTTGTGGGAAAACTGAATTAAAGGTAGTTTATTTTGCTAGACATTTTTTTGAAATCCATGCATAGTTTTTTCACAAAAAAAGTTCATGTTAAATACATGTGAAAAACTTTTTAAAACTAGGTCAAAATGTCAAGTTCTAAAACAGAAAATGCAGAATTTTTACCTTCATTCTTCAGAAGACAGACTTCTAAGTGTCCATTATAATGATACTAGATAAACTAATAGATATGATAAACTAATCCGATGACACTTTTAGTTGATGCTTGAACTTTCTCCAAAAGGTCATTTCTTCCCATTAGCCCCAGTTTTATGCATATTACAACATAATTTTTGCATTCCAACTTTAAACCGCCAGAATACTTTATAAGGATGTGGACATTTGTCTTGGTGCAATAAAGTCCAGGTTGGAAACTTCAGGAAAAGACAGAGTCCCTTAATGTCTCAAAGTATTACTCATTCTTAACATTTTTATTTTATTTTTGACACAGAGAAGCTGTCTTTAAAAGATTACCAAAGAGTCAGAAATAATTATTTTAGTAATGGACCCAGGTTATTTTCATTTAGTTTAAGTTGGTATTTTTTATTTTACATTTGAGAAATTTTTATGTAGGATGACTAACCATAAAAATATACTTTTAATAATTGTAATAGAGTACAAACAAAAATAGCAACATATTTATTAACTGTCATTAAAATTCTACATCCTTATTGCTTACTTAGGTTTCTGAAATGATGCCAGATAGTTTTATGAGCTTTCACAATCATTACTCAGGTTTGATACCCAGCTCTGGTACCTGACTCTAGCTTCGTGCTTTAAGTCCTGGGAGGCAGTTTTGATGGCTCAAGTAATTGGGTTCACGGCACCCATATGGGAGACGTGGATTAAGTTCCCAGCTTCCAGCTTCAGCCTGGTCCCAAATGTGGGCATTTGGGAAGTTAACTAGCCTGTTGGAGTTCCCTCTGTAGGTCTATCTATCCATCCATCCATCTCCATCTCTCTGTCCCTCAAATAAATAAATAAATAATTTGAAAATCATTATTATTTATCACTAGAACATTAGAAGTAATTATTGTTTAGGATTAGGTCAACTTGTAAGGGACAGAAAACCCCAAATTATAGGGTTTAATTTATACATGTTTTTTTTTCTCATACAGAATCCAGAGAAGTGAGATCTTTCACCGATTATCTCCCCACAGAGACACCAATTTGAATAACTACTCATGCACCAGTCAACCTTTACAAGAGTAAGGTAGCCAGGTGAGAGCCCACAGTACCTGTTTTAGTATAGCTATAAAAATACCCACTGAAGATGTTGGGAGAATTGTCCATGTTACATCCCAACTTCAAGCAACACAGTGTGGAGAGAAATGCCTCCTGCTTGAGGTGGCAAGAGGGAATTAACTGAGTGCCCCACACAGCTCCTATTCCCAGCCAGAATCCACAGACTGAGCTTCTGGAAGCATGTTTGCTAGCCAGCCAAAAGACTGCCTCCTCCAATATCAAAGCGATGAAGAGAAAGAGTCTGTCCACTGTGGAGTTGAACAGGAAAGTGAGGATTAGAAACTGCAGAACAGAAATACTTGATAGCCTTATAAAGAAGGAAACTAAGAATTCTATGGCCTTTTCAGGCTCTGAGCCCACTTGGGTTACCACACCATTACACTGCCCTGAAGAAACAGCCCAGCCCATGTTGTGCCCTCCTCTATTTAGGCTTTTGCTGCATGGAGTCATCTTGAGATCATGCCTACCTGGGGTCATATGAAGCAACTTGACAGCTGTTAGCAGCAGCACTGTTGACTCAGCTTTGTGAAATACCCAAGAGGCCCCACCTACTCATGGCCCCAGGAAGAACTCAGGCACCACACCCTGAGCAGCTCAGCATACATGCCCCCAGAAAATAGTCACACAATCCTGCCCACCGTCATCCTACACTGGAAACACCTAGGCAAGCCTCAACCACCTACTCTTTTCTCCAGGAATCAACAAGGTATTGCTGTTCATGTGCCTGCTCTAAAACCGCAAGGTGACCCTGCCCTGGGAGACAACTGGGCTAATGCTTCAGCCCACAGAAGCCTGGGAAGCAGACAAGCAGCCTCGTCCACTGCCTCATGGCCTGGGGAAGCAGCCAAGCAGACTTTCTTGATTGACTTGGCCTCCTGAAGCCCCTAAGAAGCAACAGGGCAGGTCTTCCCACCCTCACATGGCCCCAAGACAAGTTTAGCTTGGCCCAAGGAGGCCCTGAGAAGTAGATGCTCAGTCATGCCCACCCACTCTCAGCCCTAGGAAACAGACAGCCAGACCTGCCTAAGCAGGTCAGTTCCTGGAAGTTCCATGAAGTTACTCAGGCATCTATCAGAGAATTACAGGTGTTCTAGACACAGGGGGATAGACGAGCCCCCCTTGCAGCCCTCAGTCATTGACAGACAGTATTCCTCACTACTGACATCTGTACCACACTCACCTGGGCCCCAAAGGGGTGATCCTAAGCTCACACAACTCACAGAAACCAGCAAGTAC